TAAAAATTAATTAAATGATAATTCTAATGTGCAAGACAGTTTTTTTTAACCATTTAATTAAATTTTAAATAAAAAAAACAAAAACTTAACATTCTTATACCAAAAAAATAAAGATTTAGCATTTATTTAAAAACTTACAAAATTTATATCCTTAATTAAAATAATAATAAATTGTATATCCTTCTCTTCACATTCTCTCTTCCTTTTTCATTTTCTCCATTATCAAACCTGTTAACAGATCCCCACGCCCTGGTGTTGTGGGCAAGACCCTTGGTGAAGTGAGATGATATCACCCAATCCACAATTCACACAGAACTAAGAGATAAAGATGAGAAAAGAATTGAGAAAAGAAGTGAGATGAGAAACAGTCTACAAGGAGATGAGATGAGAAGTAAGAAAAACTATAAAGAGGAAAAAACTGTATTCACTTTGGCTAGCCAATTTTGTTACAAGGATTAGAGCTTTATAGATGGCTCTATGTTCATACATCATACATCATGCCTCAACATCTACATACATCATCAACAAACTATCCACATAAGCACCATTTCCTGCCACGTTAACTGCCTTGTTGCTAGTCCTATAACAATCCCCTCCCCTAAACAACCCTTATCCTCAAGGGTGGAAAGAAGGAAAACGCAACTGAATATCAACCCATGTCCATTTCACCAATTAAACTTCCCTTTCTCTTAGTTTGGTTTCCCTGCACCTCTATTGTATCCACATATTCCTCCTTAAAGGGCACTACCTCAATATTAAACAACTTCTTCTAATGGCACTTATGGCTTGGCACAAACTTCTAATCACACTAGAAGCATAAGCCTTTGGCTTACTTTTCTTCCAATTCCTTTTTAGATAATGTCCTAATATTCTTGTTCCTAGGAGGTTGTGGGGTGACAAATGATAAGAGGGCACTATTCCTTTGAGTAAAAGGTGGGAGTATCGAAGAAACAGAAGTTGTATTTGAAGAAGAAGTAGATGCTATACTCATAGATTGAGACCAATTAGTAGATTCAAACTGCTTCATCATAGAATTGAAATTAGCTTCATAATTGGCCTCATGCAACTGGGCAATGCAAAAGGCTTTGATTAAGGGCTTAGGATCAAAACAATTCACAGCATGCCTGATTTCCTTCTTCAAACCCCCAATGAACATCTCAACGGCAACTTCTTCAAAGTAAGAAACCCTAACCCTTACTTTCTCAAATTCCTATTGATACTCCAAGACTAAACCTATCTGTATCATATTCCTCCATCTAGCCACAGGTTTCATCATAAAGGCTACCCCAAATCTAACACAAACAACCATGCAAAATTCCTCCCAAGAAGGCCAATTAGTTTTCCCCTTCATAGGCTTGCAACCACTGCAAGGCCTCCCCTTTCATAGACAATCCAATAGTTTGGGATTTAAACCCTTCACCAATCTTATTAATTTCAAAGAATTGTTCACTTTGAAAAATTCATCCCTTCACACTATCAGTGCCATCAAAAATAGAAAAATCAACCTTCCCAAATTGAATCATAGATTCAAAAGGGTTATTACTTAGACTACAATCAACTTTAAGGCCAAGATTTCTTACCATGGGACTGTCACCTCCTCTTAGGATCCCATTATTTATTCCTATAGTTGGTGTCATCAAAGTGCCACTATCGCGCCATGAAAGACCCCACTTGATTCATGAATTGCAAGATCATCTTGTATAAAGAATCAAATCGCTATTTACTTTCTTTTCATATAGCCACCAACTAATCGTCATTCTTCTTAAATTTCTTCTCAGTCCGTTGCTACAATTCAAGAAGATCCCTTTGGGTGTTTGAGATCAAACCCCTGATCTCAGCTTCGAATTTCACTCATTCTTATAATTTGGTGTTACTTACCATGGCCATAGGTTAGAGAATTGAAGCTGTGATATCAATTGATATCACCCAATCCACAATCCACACAAAATTAAGAGATAAAGATGAGAAAAGAAGTGAGATGAGAAATAGTCTTAGCGGAGATGAGAAGAGAAGAAAGAAAAACTATAGAGAGGAAAAAACTATATTCACTTTGACTAGCCGATTATGTTACAAGGGTTAGAGCTTTATAACTAGCTCTATGTTCATATGTCACACATCCTGCCTCAACATCTACATACATCATCAACAAACTATCCATATAAGCACCATTTCTTGCCACGTCAGCTGCCTTGTCGCCAGTCCTCTGACACAAGAGCACCTCCTGTAAGTTGCGCCTTTAAGTCCATGGATGACATATTTCCTCCCCAAATTGCCCCCGCTCAAAAAAAAAAAAAAAGGCCCGTTAACATTTCCCTCCTCGATTGTCGCCTTGAAGACACACAGAGGAAATGGAGGCAGCCATGGGTCTGATGAGAAGAATGCCGCCCAAGCAAACGGAGACAGCACTCTCCGCTCTCTTGAGCCTTTTGCCTCACCACTCCTCCGATCTCCTCTCTCAAGTCGATCAGCCTCTCCTGGTATTAATCTTTGTTTTCTGGAGCGGGAAGGAATTTGATATTCAATGTTGTTACTTGGTAGACCATACCTCATATGTTATCTGCTAGGGTTTGGTACGAGTAGCTTGAAATTTTGTTTGGTTCTTGGGAAAATGTGGAGAATTAACATATCAGTTCTTGGAAGCTTCATTCTGGTTTCTGATTGAAGGTGCTGGGAACTATTTTAGTACTATCTGATGAGATTCGTTTAGTTATCCGTGTGGACATAGATTGTTGAATGTTATTTCATATATATTTATTCCATCTTTGCCAAATCAAGTGAATAATGGTCTCTCGATGATTGATTTTATAATTCTTTTGCAAGTTCTAATATGACTGAGAATGCATTTTCAATTAGATTATATTTCCTTTATATGGATAAATATGGTTGTAAATTTTCTTTACTATTGTTTCAACTTTAAAGTTTTCATTTGAATGCAGGTTTTATGCGATGTCGACTGTGGGAAGGAGTTCATTTTGTGTGAATACAATAGAGATGCTGACTCTTATAGGTATGCTTGAAATATAGACTTCCCAAGTTTGATCGGAAGTTGCGCCCTGACCCTAATTTGTAGTTGTCCCCCTGTAGCCCCTGAATCCTGCTTAGGTTGTTTTCTTGTCTAGGAACTGAGCTTTTATTTTATAGTTCCTTTTTTGTTTTGAAGTTAATAAATAGCATGCCAAAACTATCACCATGACCTACCTATGAAGTCATACGTATGCCAACTATCTGCTGGTCATTTGATTTATCCTTAGTTCCTGGATCCAGATGGCGGGTTAAAAAATGTTGGTCACTCTTTAGGGAATTTTCATGCTAAAGACCTGTAGTGTTTTGTTGATTTTAGAGAAGCATATCCCTGTAGTCTGGAGTATGACACTTGTCTCAGTAGTACCTTCTACTTAAATGTTAAGACAATATTTGTTTGTTTGATGGTGCATTCATGCATGTTCATTGGCCTTGTAAAATATGTTTGCCTTTCATGATATATTGCAATGGAAAGAGATTTATTTTGAAGCCACTACTCTCTTTGTTTCTTAGATAATTAACCAATGCTAACCACAAATAGATTTACTTAGAGTGCTATTGTTTCAATATTACTGCTTTTGACCTGTAGTTCAGCAATTAGTGTTGATTTAATTATTCTTTTACTTGTTAGATTGGAAACTTGCTGACTATTTTAGCTTTGAGTTGTGTTTTTGTTCTGTGCTCTTGTGCTTCTTGTAGGTCTCCTTGGTCAAATAAATACCATCCACCATTGGAAGATGGGCCTTATCCATCAGCAAAGTTGAGGAAACTTGAAATAGAAGCTAATGATATGTTTGGCATCTACCTTGACCAGTGAGGTTCTTTATTTACCTCGTCTTCCAGTGTGCATGTTTTCTTTAAGGTAATTTCTGGTATCTTCTTCTTCCTCTTCTTCTTCTTCCCTCTCTCTCTCTCTCTCTCTCTCTCTCTCCATGGATTTTTCATGGTAGAAGGTTTGTCGGTGAAATTCAACCCAGTTGGATTTTGTCTGAAGTTACTTAATGCAATTCCTCTTCCTTTTCCATTTAACCATTCACTTATAGCCTTTTTTTTTTCCAATAAATAATTAGTATTATGAAGGTGGTTTTTCATCAGTTTATATGTGGGAAGATGAAGATGAGGGTTTTGTAGCTTGCTTTCTGATAAAGAAAGGTCAGCAGCTATAATATGTCCCAGGAATGAAAGCTCTATGGCTTCTACTAAATTTGCCATTATTTCTGTTGAAATGTTGGATGAAGATGGGTCAAAGACGGCACATGGCCGAAGGGGTTATCTGGAGGAGGGAGCATGGGATGCCATTCATGTTATAGAGGTGAACTCTGTGTATTAATACATGTAGGGATAAAATTCACTTTATTCCTGCCAACTGGCAGACCCTCAGTCTTTACCCTTTCTGCTATGGAACATAAGTCTGTTTACCACTCTCGCTCTTGCTGCAAATCTAAATGGTTATGTTATCAGAGTGGGACCTGAGTGGGAAGGAACAACTCGTTACTGCTGGACTAGTACAGTCATGCTGTCTTTGACTAGTGATGATGAGTCAGCTGGCAGTTTCAGGTTGTCTGGATCAATCAGACTACAGGTAACTTATGCTTAGTTTTTTTAATTATAAAATCTGGTGTTACAGTTTTTAGGATGACATGAGATAAGAGGAACCGTTACTGAGAGAACTGTTAAATTCTCCTTGCTTGCTCATTGTCTTAACTTACTGTAAGACCACTTTAGACACATCCAAAGCCCAAATGAAGGAAAAGGGCTGCAGGTGGTAGTAGTTTGAATAAGAAAAGTGTTTGAGAAAGTTAAGATGTAGCTTGCATTGAACGTTGCATTGGTAAATACCAGTAAGAAATGGTTTGAGCATAGTAGCTGAATGCTTGTTGGTCTGTTGGAAATCCTTCTGTTTCTGTTTCATTTTGAACTTTTTACTTCTATTAAAACTACTCTCCGTTTTGGATTTATTTTC